CCGGACCGATCTTTTATAATAATAATCGTTGCATTTGATATAGCGTTTTATCACACTGTTGAGACGTCTCAAAGCACTTCACAGGATACACTGTAAAGTGGAGTGACTGGGTGTTTTGTTGGCAAAATTTTCTTGCAAAGCTGCAGTAACAGTAATAATCAACATTTGTATGGCTGAATTAATCTCTCCAGTGGCTGCCGGGATGGATATCCACGGGGGGTGGGTGGAAACGGGGTTTGTGGAAGCTGACTTAAGCCTAAAGAGCAAGCAAAGACAGCTGATGGGAGCAGAATGAGAAGCAGGGAGTATGCGACTGTGACTATGCAGTTGTTGCTGGAGTGTGAACCATTGTTACTGTCAGTCATTGTTGTTAATAATACTTCGCATTTCATGCAGCGCCTATCATGTCTCACAGCGCTGAGCAGCTAACTGGTGTAATGTGTACATACATGAAAGGCGCTGTATAAATAAAATGTGTTGATATTGATGTTGTAGTGACTGTGTATTCTGTAGGAAAACACAGCAGCCAATTTGCGGATAGCAATGTCCCACAGAAACTGTCAATTGAATGTTTTGAATTCAAATTCAAACTCAAATATTTAAGTGAATATTTTGTCCGGCTAAGGAGAAAAAAGTGCATTGGCATCCTACCTTATCTAATCGTTGCTCGTAGCTCAATCCTACAATACTGGGAATCATCCTCATTGCTCTCTCTCAACCCCCATTTATAATCTTAAATCTAAAGAAAATTGGTCTTACACTTTCATGGCTGTTTGTGGGACATTGCTGTGCACAAATTGACTGCTTCGCTCATTTGTAAAATACGGTCGCTGAACTCTACACTAAATCTTGTGAAGTGCTTTGACACTGTAAATCAAATGCAAGGGTTAATATTATTATTATTACTTCCATTAATATTTTTTGTTATTTCTAATGTCCCTTTAAATGTCAGTCCCTTTAAGGTGTCAGCCTATGAGTCAGAAGGTTATGGATTCAAACCCCACGTTGGGAATCACATAGTCTGAGCTGACACTTCGATGCAGTGCTGGGAGGGAGCACTGCATTGTCAAAGATGCTGCCCTTCAGATGAGATATTAAAACAAGGTTCCGTCCTCCTGCTCAGGCGGACGTTAAATATCCCATGGCACTATTCGAAAAGAGAAGGTTTCTTCCAGTGTCCTGGCCAACAAATTCTCTAAATAAAATTGGTCACACACTCCATGGCAAGGGAAATAAAATGTAAGTTCGGGACATTTAAAGGGTTAACACAGTGTGGGGGAGGAGAGCACAGTGTGGTTGGGGGGGGGTGGAGGGGGGGTGAGTCAGTGAAGCAAGATCGAGCCTGTTGTGCTTGTGCTTTCAACAGCTGAGAGCTGAATGGGGCAGGTGTCCTGCAATCCAAGACCTTTCCGAGGGTTTGTGTGGAATAAGGGATGTGTTGGGTAGTGGACCTGGTGGTGGGAGTTTGGGGGGCACAACTGGTCCAGGCACTTGTGGATGGATGCCAGTTTGAAAACTCAGCCAGCCATCATGTAAAGATCAGTAATCCCCTCTCAGCCCAGCTGTTATTTGCCTGGATTTAGAGGGAAGATGGCTTTGACAAAAGGTGCAGGGTGTTGGCATGTAGCGTGCAAATTGGCTTATTTATAAGTTGCGGACTGGCATCAAGGAGTGGAGCTGGGTCTCAGATGTGTGTGGAGTGAGGGGTGGGGGGGAGTTATTAAACAGCTGAGCTCCCCCTCATGCTATTCCCTAACCTGTCTTCCCTCACCATGCCTTTGTGGAGTCTGTAGCCTAATGGTTAGAGCACTCGCCTTGCAAGCGAGAAGACCCAGGTTCGATTCCCAGCAGGGTGAAACCTTGGGCAAGTTTCCATCTTCACACGCCTCTCTTTACCCAGCAATAAGCAGGAACCCGGCTGTTCGTCGATTGGCACGGATCACTTTCCAGGGATAATAATCCCTTAAGAAAAAAAAATTTGGTCACTCAATCTACAACTGTTTATGGGACACTGCCATGTGCAATTGGCTACCGTGCTACGCCCACAAAATATACAGTCAATTTGCTTTATAGTTTCTTCTGTCTCAATAACTTGATAAGGCGCTCTATCAAATGCAAGGATTATTATTACTATTATTCCCCCCCCCACACACACACATACAAACAAACAAAGATCTCACTTGTCGTCCTCACTGTGGGGAGATGTTGCTGGCTCACATCAACCGATATATCAGCAGTCACTACAGTCACTGTACCTCAAAGTAACTCCTTGTGTGAATTGCTTTAAGATATTTCAATGTGCTAAGGTGCCTGATCAAATGCCAGCTGTTTGGGTTATTATTATTACTACATTCTGTGGTCTCTGGTTTGATCATTCACTCGTTTTTATTAGTCGGGCTGTTTCTAGGAAAGAAATGCAGTTTGAAATAAGCTGATCAGTGTCTGCATGTGTCTCTGTCTCTCTCTCTGTCTGTCTGTCTCTCTCACTCTCTCTGTCTTTCTGTGTGTGTCTCTCTCCATTTCTCTCCATCTCTCTCTGTCTCTCTATCTTTCTCTCTCTGTCTCTCTGTTCCAAGCACTGTCTAAAGAGCCAGGAATGATCTAGGTTTGAGAGTAGCGTGAAGAGATGTCTAGAGATTAAGAAGTCAAATATTAGGAGAAATAGTGATGGAGCCTGGACTTCCCTATAGAGGCAGATGGATTCATTTATTCTTTGTCTGAGAAGAAAACACAAGTTCAGGGTTATGAAAAACAAGTTCAGAACAGTCACTACACTTTAAAGTGTGTCCTGTGAAGCACTTCGAGACATCTTCCTGATACGAAAGGCACTATGCCAAATGTAAAAAATATTATTTTGGAGGATGAGATGAAATGAGCTTCTTTTGATCTGAACTTTTCAGCTGATCTGGTGAGGTGAGACCGGGTGGAATGAAAGGTGATGTTTTCTTTGGTTGGCCGGGTCTGACATACTCAGGAACCCATTGATGTGCTGAGGTGTCAGCCTGGCTCGGTCAGTAGCACCCTCATCTTGGAATCAGAAGGCTGTGGGTTCAAGCCCCACATTGGGACCTTGAGCTCACAGTCCAGACTGACACTCCAAAGCAGTGTTAGGGAGAGCTACATTGATGGAGGTGGTTTTAATGAGATATCTGCACAAACAGTCATGAAGTGAATGCCAGTCACTGGTTGCATTCAAGAACCAGGAGATGCCTTTGGCGCTCTCTGACTTAACTTCTCAACAACAACAAGATTCCATTTATAAAGCGCCTTTCACGTCAGGAGGACGTCCCAAGAGTTCTCACTCTTTGTCCTGCAGTTAAATCTTTGTCTTTTATGTCAATGGTGCTGCACATTATTTTTTGGTCAACTGGGGTCTGATACCTGCGGAAACCTATCACCGTGCTTAAGAATATCCAATCATATGTATTGTCACCTACGTGTGGAAATTTCCCTGCGTCTGGTTTGGAATGTTCACACACTGTCCCTGGAGGGTCACATCTTGTCTCCCTAATTCTGGAGAGTATTAGGTGCAGGTTGGCAAGAGTCAAGGTTTGGGGACCCCAGAGTGTGCATTGGGGTAACTGCTGGATTTTAACCAGCTTCTGGCAAGCTTCTCACTGCTTGTCCAGCTAGGACCCCCTACCTGTTAAGGTTTTGCTTGTAAGCTTAGAAGGAGCCTTATGCAAAGCCTCTGCCCCTCCAATTTCTGCTGATGAGCCAGGCTGGCTGGTTATCAGCAATACCATGGACTACTGTGGATCTGCCTGGTTCACAAACTGATCAATGGAGGGTTGGGACTTTAGCTTACAGGGTAAAGGGGTGATGTATATAGTTTGTTAGTAAGTGACAGTGGAACATGGACTTAAACAAGTGCTTCACCAGTGGGCAATTCAGATAATTCCCTTTTGATGTGTCTGTAGGATTGACACGTCCACTGCTCTCTCCGCTCCCTAGGAACTCGCTGGATCGAGGAATCGACGTTTTGCTCTGCTGTGGATCCCTGGTTCTTGGGAAACAGCAGTCAATGCAAACCCAGATCCTGCCCTCTTTCAAGACCTCAGGAAAGAGCAATGAGCACTAGTGGTGCAAGAGAAGGGCCAGCCCGGCAAGGCGCGGTGGGTCCCAGGCAACCTGCCCCCGCCCAGCCTGGGAAGAGAGGCCGAGGGAGGCCACGGAAGGAACCTCAAGTAAGTCCACACAGCATCTCTTCACAATCTCATAATAAACGTTATATTTGATACAGCGCCTTACCACTTTGTTGAGACTTCTCAAAGCGCTTCATGGAATATGTTGTAAACTGGATTGACTGCATTTTGTGGGCAAAACACAGCAGCTAATTGCGCACAGCAAGTCCCACAAACAGTCATGGAATGAGAGATCACATTTTTTTGTGGAGGGATTATTATCTCCGGGAAGTGATCCACTAATCGACTAACTACTTACTTACTATTAGATAAACATAGTTGTGTGGAGTAAAGAAACTTGCCTAAGGTTTCGCCCTGCCTGGGAATCGAAACTGGGTCCTGTTGCTTGTGAAACCAGTGCTTTAACCAATCCGCTACAGGAGTCCTTCGGCTTTTGAAGGTCGAAGGTGCCTCCCTGGGTCAGTTGAGTCAGAAGGTCAGGGGTTCAAGGCCCATGTTGGTGACTTTGATGCCTGTGTATGTCAGTTTGTGGGGGATTTCCTGTAACCACCAGCCTTGGGACGTCCTCCTGATGTGAACGGTGCTGTACAAATGTAATTTGTTGTGGTTGCTACGTGTCAATGTGAGGGGGAATCCCTTTGTGTGTATCAGTGTGAGGGGGAATCCCTGTGTATCAGTGTATGTGAGTTTCCCTATGTGTGTGTGTGTGTGGGAAACAGAAAATCTTCTTATTTTTATAAAAACAGAAAGCTCCTTTGGAAACATCCCTGCTCCCTGACGGCATTAACCCTCTGACCCTCTGCCCTCCAGGAACCTTCAGGTCCTCCTACCCCAAAGAGGCCTCGAGGACGACCAAGAGGCAGCAAGAACAAAGAGCCTCGAGCTACTCAAAAGGTACCTGAGAAGATCACAACAATAACAACAACTCACATTTATATTTATCTTCGCTCTCTTATCCTCATCCTCACTTATAAAGCCCTCCACGGACGTGGTTCTCCCTACCTCCGTGACCTCTTAACACCATACCAACCTGCCCGCTCCCTCTGTTTTGCGGACACTGACCTGCTCCATGTCCCCCTCCCCTGACTGTCCCACCATTGGCGGTCAGAACTTCAGCCTTTCTGCCCCCACCCACTGAAACTCTATCCAGAAATCTCTCCGCCTCGCCCGTTCCCTCTCTTCCTTCAAGGACCATCTCAAGACCTTCCTCTTTGACCGTGCCTTCGACCAGCCCCCCACCCCACACCAGTCCTCTTAATTCCACCCCCACCTCGAATGCAAACCCTAACTGTCTAGCAGCTTGGGACGTCCTCCCCACGTGAAAGATGCTACATAAATGTAATTTATTCTTGTTGTTCACATGGGTTGTGTCTCAGAGCACTTAACAATGGCAGAGATTGATACTGAATTGAGAAGAGAGGGGAGGTGCCCATGGGCATGGTCAAACGGGAACAACAACAACAACAATAAAATTACATTTGTATTGCGCCTTTCATGTCAGAAGGACGTCCCAAGGCGCTGGACAGTCAGTGTTTCGGACCCGAGCTGCTGTCGGGAATGGGGAGGGTGTGCAGTGTGGGACAGTGGCGGAGCCGGGCGATGTTGCGGAGTTGGGGCAAGGCAGAGCGGGTCATAGCAGGGATGTGGGGTGGAAAGGATAGTTGCGGGTCATACAAGACGCCAAGATTCCAGACTGGCTTGATAAGGTAGAGTGTGCATCCATGGATGGTGATGCCGTCAGCGCTTGAGGAGCCAATCAGGAGAGCCTCGGACTTGTTGACATTCAACTAAAGAAAGTTAGCTCTCATCCAGGACTTGATGTCTGAAAGACATTCTGTCAGCACAGCAGTGGTCTTGGAGTTGAGGGTGGAGGCAGAGAGATAGATTTGGGTGTCATCCGCATACATGTGGAAGTTGACCCCATATCTGCGGATGATGTCACCACAAGGGAGCATATAGATATTGAAGAGGAGGGAACCAAGGACAGAGCCCTGAGGAACCTTCACAAAACAGTGCGGGGGCTGGAGGAGAAACCGTTTGTGGAGATGAAGTGGAGGCGGTGTGAGAGGTACAATCTGAACCGTTCAAGGACATAAGGTCTTCAGATGCGATTTGGGGTGTAGTGGTTGAAAACACGACCACCGATGGTGGAACGGAGGGGATGAGAGACATGGCTGGAACCAGCTGAGTGAAATGGGAGGGTAGAGCATTGTGGTGTAAGCAGGTAGGAATGGTCAGGAGGTGTGACCTAGGGTGTGAACTGATTTGTAAGTACATGTGAAGATCTTGAAATCAGTGAAATCACAAGATTGTTCAGGATGAAGAAGATCGATCGGTCCATTTAATATGATTGTGAATAATAATAATAATAATCGTTATGCCTTTCACATCAGGAGGACATCTCAAAGCGCTTCACAATATATACTATAATGCGTAGTGCCAAATTCCCACAAAACACACAGTCACAACATATCGCTGCATTTAACAAAGAGAGTTTAACACTCTCTCACATCCATATATATGCTCCTTCTTGGGGATGTCATCCGCAGACATGGGATACATTTCCACATGTGTGCGGACGACATGCAACTCTATTTTTCCACCTCTCTTTGTGACCCCCAGTCCCCTGATGTTCTATCAGCTGCCTGTCAGACCTCAGGGGCTGGATGAACGCAAATTGCTTCAGTTGAACGTTGACAAGACAGAAGCCATACTTTTTGGCTCTCGTCAACGTCTAAAATCTCACGGTTCTCATCTCCTCCACCTACCCGACCTCCCCCTAACATTCTCCGAAACTGCACCCAACCTAGGCGTCAGGTTCGACCCCCAATTATCCTTCCTCCCCCACATCCGGTCCCTCACCAACCGCTTTCTTCCACCTCCGACGCATCGCCCGTCTCCGCCAATACCTCTCTCTGAAAGCCGCTGAAACTCTGGTCCATGCCTCTGAAATCCTCTGTCACCTCTCGGCTGGACTACTCTCATGCCCTCTTCGCCGGCCTCTCATCCACTACCATCCATAAAATCCAGATTATTCAAAACTCTGCCGCCTGCATTCTCACCCGCACCAAACTCCGCTCCTCGATCACCCGAGTCCTGGCCAGACTGCACGGCTGCCTATCTCAAAGCGGATCGATTTCAAGATCCTCACCCTTGTCTTCAAATCCCTCCACTCCTTTGCACCCCCCGACCTCTCTGACCTCCTCTCTCCTCAAAACTGTGCCCGTTGCCTTCGTTCCTACGGGTCTGGTCTCCTCCTTGTCCCCCGAGACCTCCGCTCCACCCTCGGCGGCCATGCCTTCAGCCTCTATGCCCCGAGGCTCTGGAACTCCCTTCCTCACTCCCTTCGCCTCGCTCCCTCCCTTCCCATTTTCAGGTCTCTGCTAAAGACCTTTTTTTCCGACCGCACCTTTGGTCACCTTCCTCCCCCTCCCCCTGGCTCGGCCCCGGGATCCATTACTGTGAAGCGCTCTGAGACTCCGTCCGGCGTGCAGGGCGCTGTATAAATCCAAAATGTTGTTGTTGTTGTACAGCACCATCATAACGTTGTATTTGAAGCGATTGTCATCATGTCTGAGTCGGTAATATTATGACCTCCGAGTCAGAAGACTGTGGGTTCAAGCCCCACTTTGGGTCTCATATGGTTTGAGATAATGGGGACAAGGTGGGTAAATGGGACTGAAAGGACTGCTCTTGAAAAGAACCACCACAGATAGGATGGGCCGAATGGTCTTCTATTGTGCTGTAAATTTCTGTAACTCATATAGTTCAGGTTGATACTTCAATACTGTACAATGATAAGGGAGCATACATACCCTACTCCGAGGTCCCCAAACCTTAGCTCTCGCCAACCTGCACCCAATACTCTGGGGATTTAGGTAAGTAAGCTGTGTTCCTCCAGGAAGAGAGCGCACATTCTATTCCAGATACACATATGTGGAACTCACGGTCTGGAACTGATACTCTTAGAGACAGTGATGGTTTTCCACGTGTGTGAGGCACTCAGTTGACCAAAAAATAAAGCAGACAGGGGGGGAAAGGGAGTGATTGGCTCTGAGATAGGGCAGTGACAGAAGTGGGTTTGATAGATGGACCAAATGGCAGCAAATTCCTTCCATGCATCAATAATAATAATGATAATAATCCTTGAAATCAATATAGCGCCTTATCATGTCGTTGAGACGTCTCAAAGCGCTTCACAGAATTCATTGCAAAGTGGATTCACTGTGTATTTTATGGGCAAAACATGGCATGTAATTACATAATTACATAATATTCACAAATATTTATATACTGTATTACATAATGTAATGTTATGTAAGGTGAGAATAAGAGACTGGATAATTGAATGAGCAGTAGAATTCCAACATTATAATGGATCTCTCCCTCTCTTTCTGATGATGTAGAAAGCCGAGCCTCCGGGGGAAAAACGGCCCAGAGGACGACCAAGGAAATGGGTGAGCGACGTAGACCTGTGTCATTTGCGTTGTAGCAAATGGCCGACATGTTTCACAATCCTTGCATTTTATACAGCGCCTTTCACTTTGGGAGGATGTCTCAGAGCCCTTCACTGGATTCAAAGTGCCGCGACTGTGTATTTTGTAGGCAAATGCAGCAGCCAATTTTGCACAGAGCAAGGTCGCTCAAACAACCATGAAGTGAATGACCAATTTTTTTTTCCGGGGGATTGTTAGCCTGGACACCGGGAGAGAGAAACAATCTTCTCTTTTCAAATAAGTGCCATGGGACCTTCAACATCCACCTGAACAGGAACAGATGGGACACTGATTTAATGTTTCATCCGAAGGATGGCACCTCCGACAATTATTGCTCCCCCAGCATTGCACTGGAGCGTAGAATTGTGAGCTCGAAATCCCTGAAGTGGGGCTTGAACCCAGAACTGTCTGACTCGGATGCAAAAGTGCTATGAATTGAGCCAGAAGGATAGGGGTGATGGGCTCAGAGGCCCATACAGGAGAAGTTCTCAAAACAGATGGGATTTGAGGAGATTTATTGGTATTTTCGTGATGTTTTATTTAATTTGAAGAAGTGCAGTGCTGTTGCGGGGACAGAGGGAGGTAATTGGTTAGCATCAGGATACAATTAAAATATCACAACAACTTCCCCCATAAACAACTGTGATTTATTTTCCATCTGGGCTTTACAGGCCGTCTCTCCCAATGTTTACTGCACTCTAGCAGCTAGCGTGCTTTCAATTAAGTCTCGCTGGTAGCTTTAACAAGTCTGCATGGGGAAACCTAACCAACAAGTTGTGGAAAGTGCAAGAGAGGGGAACGAGACCCCAAGCCAAACTTAAACACACCCAAATGAGCAACGCCTTTGATCATCACTGCACTTCCCATTGTGTCGGAGCAGAACAGACCGGTCGCTGGGGACATGGTTTTAGCTGCTTAAGTTCCAGTAATTACCCTCCAACACATACTTTCCAGTCCCCAAACCCTGGCTCATCTCAAAGTCATCTGAATTGGCAGACAGGACCTGGTTTAATGTCTCATCTGAAGGACAGTACCTCCGACAATGCAGTGCTTCCCTGGCTGTGCAGGGGAGCATCAGCCTAGATTCTGTGTGCGTGAGTGTGTGTGTGTGTGTGGGGATTGGGAGGGATGCGTGTATATGTGTATATGTATGCGCGTGTGTGTAGGCTGTGTGTGTGGTGTGTGCGTGAGCGTGTCTTAAAAGTCCAGTTCAGGAAGGATGCTGGGCCTTTAGTTGGCTTCCTTAATTCATCAGTCAAATTGCTGAAAGGGTCAAGGGGATTGGCCGATTTTCTAAGACCTTTGCCCTGGTGGCTAATGGCATAAACCAACAGTGATGGAGGAGAGTCGGGATGAAGGGCGAGCAGAGCTGAGCAGTAACGGTTCCCATTGTAGATCTGGGATGTGCGAGTGCTGGTAAAGCAGCGGGGAACAGGAAACGTGACCCATTAATGGAGGAAATACTCATCAGCATCTAACATTCCTCGGATACCACACACGGTGACAACAGCTGCACACATCGCCCCTCACCTTCCAGTTGTACCTTTCACTGAGCGTCTGTCTGCGGGGCTGGATTCCGCCCGAACAATACACAATGCTTAGAGGGTGGTGGGGATCCGTTAACTGTTTCCTCCCCACCGCTCTTCCCCATTGCCTTTTCTCCAATGCAATTGTTCCCCGCCCACTTTCTCTCCCCCTCTAATCCCCCTCCCTCTCCCCATCCCCTCTCCCCAACAAGCTACAGTCAGCGCCAATCACACAGCTCACTGTACGCGTCATTCAAAGTAGCTACAAGGAGTGTGGCTGACCCATTTGAACGACCATTGCCAGTCAGAGAAAAACTAAGTAATCTTTATTACTCCCTCCCTTCCTCCCTCAACCCTCCCTCCCTTCCAAGTATTCTGTCCAATTCCCTATTGTTGCAATCCGCCTCCACCACCTCCCTTGTCTTTCTGTCCATCTGTTCTACCCACCCCGTCGTGCTCTGTGTGAAGTCATTAAATCTTCTCCCCACTCCCTTGCCTCCAAGCCTCCTCTCAGTCCCCTGGCTTGACCATATTTACCGTATCATCACGCTCCACTTTATCTTTCCCCGTTTGGATCTTGAATTCTTAAATAATATTCACTACAGGGCTATTTGTGGGACATTGCTATTGGTAAATTAGCTACTGCATTTGCCTATGAAAATACAATTACTACACTTTTACAGCAAATCCGGTGAAGCACTTTGAGACATTCTTCTGATATGAAAGGAATGTGCTACGAGCACCAATTAGACAAGCTGGGGCTCTTCAATCTTAAAAAGAGATGTCTCAGAGAGGACCTGATAGAGATGTGTAATATTCTAAATGGGAATAAACCCTGAGCAATACTTGCTGATGTATCAGAGCAGTAGATCAAGAGGTAACAGGTTCTGTGTTGCAAAAGGCCAATTTCAGGACAGACACCAGGAAGTATTTCTTTACTCAGAGGATAATTAGTGACTGGAGGGAGGGTGGTCCAAGTGAGGATACTGAGACTCACTTAAAGAACAGCTTGATGCTGTGATGGGAGGACGGTAGACTAGGGATCATGGAAGGATAAGATCAGATGGGCCAAAGGACCTTCTTCTCCTGGATCAATCATACGATTTTGTGGTCTTGTGTTCATCTGCAACTTTGCAATGTGTGTTCCTGTTGCTGTAAAGTTTTTTGTAGAAGGGCGTTAATTGTATTTTCTTTGGAGTTTAATGGAGTCACTTTTACTCAATAAACACTCCAGGGAGATTCTCAAACAGTCTATTAATGTAGGGAACAGCCGAGAGCAAGACTCTGAGATTGCACCATCTTGGGCTATTCTGGATCCTAATTTTGTCCCTTTGGCCCCCAAGCTGTGTGTACTGGACCTCACACATCATACACACTCGCACATATACACACCCGTATGCACACATACACACTCACACACACATGCATACGCACGCACACGCTCGCACACGCACACATCCACATACTAACATTAAATAGACACACACACGCCCACACACATACACACCCGCTCATGCACAAGCACCTACTAACATACAAACACGCGCACACACTCACACAGCAACAGACCCAGACATCGCAGACGACTGTAAACAAAGTTGACAGAGAGCCAATGGGCAGTTATGTCATTTTACAGCCGTTTGTTTTTAATTAGCGCTCCCGAGCTTTATTTATTTGTTTCCTACATTTTAATAGCTACGTTTTGCGACCACCAACGAGGCCCCAGCAGGAGAAAATGGCGTCTGTGCCCCATCAAAATTACCGTTTATGTCAACTTGCGAATAATGGGGTCAGCGCTGTCTCCATTGATGAGCAGTAGACGTCAACACAACCGGGTCTAAACCCATTAAGAAACCATCTCGTCAGCCACAAAGCTGGGTCCAAGATCATGATGTGAGGTATAAACCTCAGCAAACAAACCCCCCAAAAACAATTCTAATAATTGCCGTGTTTCATATCATGCCTTATCACATCGCAGGAATTTACTGTAAAGTGCAGAGAGTGTATTTTGTAAGCGAACGCAACAGCCAATTTGTGCACAGCAATGTCCTACAAACAGCCATGAAGTGAATGACCGATTTTATCTGGGGATTATCGGCCAGGATACCGGGGGAGAGAGAGAGAAACTCCCTTGTCTTATCGAGTAGGTCCCATGGGATTTTTAACAATCCATCTGAACAGGGACAGACACGTCCTTGATTTAACCTCTCACCCGAAGGACAGCACCTCCGACAATACAGCAGTGCCCCCCAGCACTGCACTGGAGCATCAACCTGGACTGTGAGCTCAAAGTTGTGACTATGGGGATTTCTGTTGAACAGTTCTATTCCAGGCTTGTGCCAGCGCTCTGCAATGGTACATCCAGCACAAGTTGCATCCCGACATCCCGCTACGGGGAGCGGGCAGTTTGCACACGGTGGGGGCTGGTCAAGATGCTTGCCGTTGCCTGTTTAAGAGAGCTCTGAACGCTCTGGCTTTGATTTCTTTGGCCTGTTTTAAAGGGTATATAATCCTTGGCCCGCGTTCAATCTGTTTGGTTTGATGAACACCCAGCCCTTTGGTTGCGACAAACTCTCGCAACGAGAGAAAAAAAAAAACCATAAAATCGCCTCTCTTTAAACTCACAATTTGCCCAAATCTTAAGCGACATCGTCCGTACGTTTGTGAATGGCTGTGAGTGACATTTCTTTTTTACTACTGTATACAATTGGCTCTCTTTTAAAGAACTTGTCCACTGTAGGTGAAGTGTCCCGGTTTAGAGTGGGGAGCTGCCCGAAGGTTTTGAGGAGAGGGTAACGATGCAGGATATGTTTTGCGTTGTAGCTCTGGTTAGTTGAAGCAAAGCGAATGATTTACTTAAGCCTCGCATTTGATGCAGCGTTGAAATGTCTCAAAGCGCTTTGCAGAGAATGTCTGGCAAGTTTTCAGACTGTGTGTTTTGTAGACAAACGGTAATGTCCTACAAGCAGCTACGGAGCGAGTTACTAATTTTTTTCGGTGGGATTGTCAGCCAGGTCACCGGGAGAGAGAAACTGCCTTCTCTTTTCCAATAATGCCACGGGATCTTTAAAGTCCACCCGAACAGGGCGTAGACGGGACCTGGATTTTCAGATCTTAGCCAAAGGACGGCGCCTCCAAATCCAACTCTCCCCCCACAACACTGCACTGGAGCCTCAGCGTGGACTGTAAGCTCAACGGCTGCGAGGCTGGGTTTGAACCTAGAGCTTTGTGACTCGAGTCAGCTACCAGCCGAGCCAGGCTGACTTCTGTGCTCCCCCCGAAAGTAATCTGCTATTTTGCGATGAGTAAACGCGAGTTACGAGTGGTGACCAGAAACGGTGCTCAGCAAAAGAGCTCATTTCTGAACAAATCAATCACTAACCTGCCTTACCAGTAACCTCTCTTACCAGTAACCTCTCTTACCAGTAACCGACT